CAAAAGCTAGATGAGACTTCAAAACAAGATGGTACTAAATCAGTATTACCTATTAAGATGTCATTTTCTCCAAAATAGCTGTTCCTATCATCCAATCTTCTCTGTCTCATTTCTGTTGAGCTCTTTTTCTGTCAGTAGCTGTCAGTTCGTCTTCTTCATTTAGTTCTCTGCTCCATTCGTTGTGGCCTCCCTGCCACTATTTCTGGGTTCTTTGTATTTTTCTTTTTTTAGAATATCCTGCAATACTTTCTGTAGGGTTGAATTGGTGGTTGCAAATTCCCCCAGTTCCTCTTTATCCTGGAAGCACCTCGTTTTTCCATCAATTTCCAGGGACAGTTGTGCAGGATATCTCAATCTTGGCTGGAGATTATTATCTTTCAAAGCTTGAATTATTTCCCCCCATGCTCTTCGTGATTTGATGGTTTGTGCAGAGAAATCTGCTGTAATTCTGATGGGTGTTCCCTTGTAAGTGGTCTGTTTCTTGTCTCTGACAGCTTTTAATATTCTGTTCTTGTATTGAATTTCTGGAATTTTTATTATTATATGCCTGGGTGTTTCTCTGTTAGTGTTGTAGGTAGCTGGGGTCCTGTATGCCTCATACATCTGAGTATCTTTACCTTTTGCTAAATTAGGAAAATTCTCCTGGATTATTTCTGTGAGTAGCTTTTGTAGTTCACTTGTTTGTGTCCCTACTTCTTCTTTTATGTTCTTAATCCTTAAGTTATGGCTCCTCTTATCATCTTCTTGTCTTTGTATTATTGCTGTTTGTTTCTTTGTTATTTTTAAGAAGTTTTTCATTTCATTCTCCCATATTACAAGTCTGCCCTCCAGTTCAGATAGTCTGTCCTTAGTTTCTTTCAAGCTGTTATGCCAGTCTTGGATAGACTTCTTAATTTCTTGATAGTCCCTTTGAACCTGCTTCACATATTCAATGCTTTCTCTGTTTTCTCCATCAAGCAATTCTCTCCTCTTTTTCTGTTCTTCCATTCCACCATCTGTTTTTTCCTGGGTGGTGCTTAGCATTTCTCTAACTATTCTGCATACTTCTAGCTTCAGGTCATTGATAACTTCATTCCTGAATTGGTCTATGAGGCTCTCTATATGGCGCTTAATGTATATTGGTGCCGTGTCCACTATTGCCTGTTTCTCAGAATTGGGGGCCGAGGAGCCTTTCTTGTTGCTTCCCTTCCCCATATTTTCTGTTCCTTATAAAATGCAAGCTTACATAGGAGGCCTGGCTTCCCTGCCTGTCAGCCACAGCCTGATCAAATTGCGCTGGCTAGTTGTTCCTGCCCACCGCTGCGCACCAGGGAGTTGCGGAGGAGGCAGCCTACGCGGGAGTCAGTCGCTCCTCCGGGCCACCGTCAGGCTCTGGGATCTGGATTAGGCCAGCCTACCGAGTCCACCAGCAGCGTCACGCAGGCCAGGCACTTTTCACCAATCCCGTCAGAGAGGGGAATGTGTGACTGGAGTCGCCACTGCGCCCTGCTCTTACAGGACTGCCTGAGCCCAGAAAGTCCTCCACTGGAGTCAAACTGTGGTAGGGGGTCAGTTTCTCTCACTCACCTCGCCACCAGTCAGTTTTCGTGTACGCCTCTTTGTCCGTCCTGTTTTCGACTCTGTTCTCAGACTCCCGTTCCCAGAGCTTCTGCGCATCTCTCCTTGCTGAGCCGCTTGTGGAGGCAGCCAGCCGCCGGGCAGTGGGAAACCCAAATTGCGGTTTCCAATGGCGCGGGGTTGAGCCTCCACACCGAGTCTTTTCTGTTCCTATTTTAGCGCCAGGACTGTATTCTAAGTTGGTTTCTCTCAGCCCAGTTCGTTCCTGAGTCAGCAGAGCATATCTCTACTGGTTCATGTCTCCTTAGTCCGCATCATTCCTGGCCTCTGAGCCGAGCCTTTCAGAGAGCCTCCGGTAGTTGCTGTTGTCTGTCCGCCATGTTCTCCCGGCAAGAACACATTTATAAGATGCTGCTTATAGATATTTTATGATCAAGTAGAAGTCTCTGACTAAGTTTGTGTTCTGCTGTTTGTCCTGATTTCAATTGACCCTGACAGTGTCTACAGCCAGCTGCACACCTCTGATGAGCACTGAGTCAGAGTAATTGTCTATACCTTCAGGCACCCTGGGCTAATTCAAAGGCCCCGCTCTAGAATCTTCCTATATAATGGTAATGCCCTTAACTGTGCTCATTGTGTAAGGGTCCCCTAACTGTGTAAGAGTTCCCTGCCCTTGTTTCCTGAGTATTTCTATGTTATGATAAACAATTCTTTTGTTTTAAGACTAGCCTGCCTGTCAATATATGACTCAATCTATGTATCTAATTATGTATGTTTTGTCTCTTGCTTTGTACCTCCCCTTTCTAAATTCTGTATAAACTAAACTCTTCCTAAATTCAGCACTGTTGCGGTTGAGAAATTATCCCGCAAGAGCTCAGTAGTGTGAAGATCTAACAGTGTGCTGGTGTAAAGATTAAATGCTGCCCTCTTATTTCTTCGGTGCAGAGAATCTTCCTTTCAGTTTGGTTTGCTTAGGTCTGGTTTGGTTTGGCTTGGATTGGGAATTGTCCCACAACAAGTGAAAAGCTTTCCTTTCCTCCTCTCCACACTCCAGACTCCCCACACTTGGGTGTATTAAGTAGGCAAGCTTCACTCATTTCAGTCTGAAGAGTCTAACTTGATTAGAATGGGGAGGGGAGGTGCGTGTCTCAGTCTGTTAAGTGCTTTGAGCCTGGCTTCCGGGCTCTAGTGCAGACCACTCAGCTCCTGGAACAGATCCTTCTTCCCACTGCTGCAGACTTTCTTCCACCCTGACCTTTGGGCCTTCCCAGGGCAGATCTTTTGCCTGTGAACAGAAGATATAACCTGACCCCTCTTTGCAGGTCGTGTGCGCATAGGGGCCTGTCTCGTGCCCTACTGATGGGGCTCAGAAGGTCAGGGGTAGCAGCAATGGTGGGCAGCAGGGCTGAGGTGAGAGTGTGGTCCACCCAGGGCAGCTGCTCCCAGCTCACTCATGCTGCAGCCCCACTTCCTTACCACCAGAGGGCGAAACGCTAGGCAAAGCCTCCTGGATTTTAGAGTCATCTTTACATGCCCACTCACAGACAACACCCTCCCCAGGAAGCACACTCACACACTGAACACACTGAAGGAAAATTAAAATCACTGACTCACTTTGTAGTCTCGTGGATCAGGTGTTCACACGGTTTGGAATCCCCTAGAAATTCTCTCCGGAAGGCAATAGTATTGTGAGATGACAAGTCCCTATCAGCTATGCTGTACTCCATGAGAGTGGGGTCCACCTCAACTGAATCCAGGACCTCAAATGACTCAAGGGTGTCAGCTTTGTTATGACTGAATGGCAATGGTCTTAAAAGGAAACTTCATGTAGAGCAATCTGAGTCATCATTCTAGATCTCTGCAGAGGCCCCTGTGGTGGATTGACAACCAGTGGTCAGCTTGTAACAACTGGCGGAACTGAATCAGTGTGATGCCAGGTGTGGATGGCCAACCTGAGGATTGTTGCCAACAATATGAAAAGGAAAACCAGAGCGGAAGAAGTAGTGTTGTTGGTTCTCCTGTTGCCATTGCTCATGGAGGAGCTTGTCGAACTTCTTTCCTGATATGAACTTGGATATTCTCATTGTCAGAGGAACTTGGGAGCTTGTTGTTGCTGCGAATGGCTGTGGTTCACTTTACGGGAGCTCTGAACCTTAATTTGAGTGTTGTTTCCTGGCTCCAGAGGGGAAGAAGTTGTGCTGTTCAATCTCTAGAAGAAGCTTGTCACGCTGGCTTCCTGATACAAATTTAGATGTTCTCATTGTTATAGGACCACAGGACCTCATTGTCACTGAGGATGGCTGTGGTACTTTTTTGGGGGGCTCTGGCCCTTACTTTGAACATTGCTTCTTGGCTGTAATGCAGATACCTCAGCCTGCTGGCACCAGCCTTTCATCTACTGGCACAGACTTCCTAGCTGGTTGTGTATTTGTATTTTGTGTGCCATTTAATTTCACTGACGCCCATTGGTGCTCATAATCGGATTATTTGATCTGCTGGATATGGAACTACAGGACTTAATGTTTGCTCTGTTGGGTTTTTGACTTACTTTTTTCCCAATCCTTTGTGTGATCCTATTTGTACTCTTTTGAAAGGTAATCTTTATTTTGTGCTATTGAATGCTGGAAGTGCTTAACTTTTCATTTGTATAAGAGGTCACAGCTAAGAGTTTGCTTTAGACCTTGGAATAGACTTGGGACTTGGACTCGTCGGCAATGCTGAAACTGTTAGTACTTTGGCAACTCTTGGAGATGGACTAAATACTTTTTGCATAAGGGCGGTGCATGAGTTTTTGTGGGACCAGGGGAGGAATGCTATGGTTTTGTTTAGATGTCCCCCAAGCCTCATGCAGTCATGTGGGCATGCTGGTAGAATGTGTGATTGATTCCTGGTCCAATGATGAGCTCATGGGTGAGTGCTACATCCAAGTGGGTGTGACCTATGTACAACATAAAGGACAGAAAGATCTTCTCTCTAGCTCCTCCCCTTTGCCCTTGGTGCTTTTGGCCTCTCTCACTACAAATAACTGTTGTTTCTCAACTGAGTATAGACTGAAAGCTCCACAAATGTGAGTTTAGTAAACCTTTCCTGCTTTCCTTTTAGGTGGTGGATATTTTGTCTCAGCAATGTGGGAAAAGTAACCAAGACAGCCTCCTCTTTTTTCCTCTTCTTCACTGCAGACCTCTTTCCTGAGTGTAGGCCTGGTTCCTCTTGACAGGAGAGAGGCACCACTAGGAGGCTAAAACCATCCAGGTGTCCAGCCAGCTTTTTGCTGAGAACAAATACTTAGCTCTTAAGGCAGAATTGAATGGATACAGTGTTGTCTCTCTTCTGGCTTGTGTCATGGATAAGGTGAGCTTCAGAGGTGAGTAGGAAATTTCTCATTGAAAGTTCTGTTGGCCAGAGGTTTAGCTCAGTGGGGTAACTGCCTGCTTGGCAAATTCAAGGTCATGAGTTTGACCCCTGGTACCAGAGGGGGGGAAAAAAAAAGAAAGGTGGTCTGTTACTCTATTATTTACTTTTCAGAGTTTGGTTGATTGGAGCAGGCCAGAGCTATAAAACTCTGGTTTGTCTGCTCCTCCCAACTCTTCTAGCATCCCCCTAGCATACCATCCGACCTCGCCCTTGTAAAATCCTCTCTGTCACACTGAGAGCCCGTCGAGGTTCTAGTCTCATCTTTGGTCTCTTCAGGGGAAGCTCTGCCATGCGTCCACCCTGGATGTGGTTATAGTTCAGGCACTCAGGGCTGGACCAAGACTCAGGGAGTCCTGCTGTCTCTGGTTAATGTTCAAGGGAGTCTTTTGTGCTTTTAGTTCCTCAGAGTCAGAGAGGACTGGATTCTGGACCTGTGAGCCAGCAGGGGAAGCCCCAAAGTGGAAGGTGCAGCTCACGTTATAGGCTTTTGGAACAACTCAGTCCTAGTGTATGAGAATAGGTCTTGAGGTGCCATATGACTAAGCAGAGGCAGGTAGGTCTAGGGTTGCACAGAGTGTAGCTACAGGGGGACTTCTCAACAAGCCAAAGTGTGGGTCTGTGGTGCAACAAAACTAATTGGATCCTTCGAATTTGGGTAACATAGGGAGACATATGTATGGGTTAGCACAAAATTTGCTTCATGGTAGCATAGGTGGACTTGGTTTAACTCAAGCTGGCATCAAAGTGTCAGGGACATTGTGAAGCCCTGGTCTCCTCAGACCACTCTAACAGTTTCATCTACTTATAATATCTCTAGAAATTACACAGTAAAAACCCACTAGAAATATTCTGGAGCAGTCATGGTGGTTGTGATCCAAGATGGCTGTAGTCATGTCCATTTCATCTGTTTATCTGGGTAAAGACCTTCTTCAGTAGGTGAATGTCATTACTGTGACATGTGGTACATGGAAGTCACTCTGTTAAGCCTTCCATGAGCTCTGGAAGATTTATTCCTCTCCCTCCCCCATCACTTCCTCACCTCATTATTTGCTTTAGCCTTCAGATTCCCTTTTGGGGTTCCAACTCCCTGTTTTAGTTAGCTCTCATTCTAAGTACACTCCATTTGGAGTGAAAGTGTCTTAATTTCTGGAGGAGATATTGTGAGTTGAAAGAAGTAACTCATTACATATTTGTTCTCCCTATAAGTGTAGTTTGCCAACACCTACCTGTGTTCAGGAGGTCCATGATATAAGATGCTGACCTGAGGAAACAGTCTGACCCTGGAACCTGATCAGAGAGGTGCATGTGCTATGGGGGTGTTACATGGATCTTGCAGAGGCACAAGAAAGCAGAGAGATATTGATGGACTAGTGACAGGCTGCTGATTAGTCTAGTTTTCCTTGGAGGCAGGATATGGGACGTTCAATGGCATCCATGTATAACAAAACAAAAGCAATCCACCAGGTGAGGTGTCACATGTCCGTAACCCAAGCATTTGGGAGAGTGATGCTGGGCGATTGTCATTAGTTATAGGCAAGGCTGGGCTACATAGTGAGTTCAAGATGAGCCTCAACTACATGATGAGACCTTGCCTCAAGGAAAAAAAAAAGAATGGAAAGAAACAAAAAGAAACATCCCAAATAGAAAATGTGAAAACTACTGAAAAAGAAAAAAAAAAATGGTCCAAAGAAACCACAACCCAAAAGCAGTGCAAAGTGCAGAGAGGTGGGGCAGAATCACAAAAACACTGTTCCAGAAGTCAGTGATAAAGCAGTAACTACATTTCATGCTAGGTCACTTAGAGGCTGCCACACTCTACAACAGACTGGGGTCTCATTTCCTCTTTTCCTTCTGGCTGAACAGACCAGACTCTATCTTGCGCACTGTGCCTGTTTCTGGTTTCTGTGAAGTCATGTTGCTGTACCTGGCAGCCCTCGTGGGTTTGTACTACCTCGTGCGCTGGTACCGGGAGAGACAGGTGGTGAGCCACCTCCATGACAAGTATGTCTTCATCACGGGCTGTGACTCGGGCTTCGGGAACCTGCTGGCCAGGCAGCTGGACATGCGAGGTTTGAGGGTGCTGGCCGCGTGTCTGACGGAAGAAGGAGCTGAGCAGCTGAGGAAACGAACATCAGAACGGCTGGAGACAGTGATCTTGGATGTCACCCGGACAGAGAGCATTGCTGCAGCCGCTGAATGGGTGAAGGAGCGTGTGGGGGACAGAGGTACCACCTAGATTCCTGTCTGTGTCCATTGGTATCTTCTCTGTGTGTGAAGAGAACACCTTCTGTGTATTCCTTTGTGAGATTTAAAGGCATCTTGAGGAGATGGTGCTTGAAATAAGGCTAAGTTCCTTCCTTTCCCCACAGTGCTAGCTTGAGCCTGTTCTGTCACCTGTTGCCCTTGGAGCCCACTAGTGTGAGTGAGAGGGGTCCTGCTGGGAATCTGTCCTCTCTGTCCAGATTTCCTCTGTCCTCTGCCTGCCTTTCTAAGCAGAAGTTCTAAGTTGCTAGATGCTAAATGCCTGAGTAGAGATGGGGTATCTTTCAGGAGGAGGGCTGGGGACTGGCTTCCTGGGGTGTGTGGTGCCTGGGGACATGCTGGAGCTGAGCTCCTGTCTCAGCACTGTAACTTGTTCTTTACTGGGTCACCAGCATTCTTCACCTGCAGAGCCAAGATCTTCCTGTTTTCAGAATGGTTATGAGATTCAAAACTCGTTTCGGAAAGTCAAACACTGTGGTCACTTTTAGTTTATGGTTACTGAGAAGCAAAGGAGCATTGGTTTATTTCATGCAAGAATAAATGTCAAGTTTGACTGTCATCAAAAACACAGGAATGTCTATAATCATGACAACATGAGCGATATATCTCCTCATTCAGAGAGAGCTATTAGTCACATATTGACCTACATGGAACTACATTTTGTGCATAGGTCATGTGCAGTCTTTTCACTGAAAAAACGAGGAGCTGCGGTTTTGCTACCTAATACTTTTCTGTGGTTCTTCACAGTCCTGCTTATTTAAACTACAGAATGGTTGGATATTGGAGTTGTTGGTGATGTTTTTGTTACTAATGTCATCTTTGTATGCACTCCTTTATTGAAATGTGCGTAAATGGGTTTATCATTGGCTTTTTGAAATAAGGTATGTTAGGAACAGGACACATTTTCTGTCAAGAGCAGGGTGCGTTTCTGAGCCGAGGAGGCAGATCTCCTGGCCATCTGTTGCAGATTTTTGTGCTGCATCCTTTGCCCTGTTTGCACAGTTCACTTGCTGGTGCTGCACTGTGCCCCTGGGTGGCAATAGTGTTTAGTCCTAGAGGTGGGTGTGGGGCTGTCCAGAGTGGCCCCAGAAGATCAGTGTTGTGGGGCCCATGCAGGATGAGGGACAGTTTCTTTATGAGGATTGGAGTTTGAGGAGAGGATTGCTGTTCTCTGTTGTACAGTGTGGGGTTGTGTATTGGGGATGGGGGTGGAAAGAGGAAGCCTGTGCCATGCTAAAGCTTCCTGTGGGTTTTGGGAGCACGCTCACTAAGGTTGTTCAATATCAGTGCCTTGGTTTTCAAGGTCAGTTTCGTGATGACAAACACAGCAGTGCTTGAAAATTTCCTCCAGTGGGGCATGAGTGCTTTGTTTTTCAAGCAACTTACACCCACGTTAGTCTTACCTTTTCTCTGTTTTTCCTTTTCCTTTGTCTCTCCCTTCCTATTTCTCCCTCAGTCTTGTGTTTCTTTTCCCTTGATAACTGGTGTGTGTGTGTGTGTGTGTGTGTGTGTGTGTGTGTGTGTGTGTGTGTGATATGAATTAGATACTTTAAAAGGTCATGAAAAAATAAAATGTGTCCAGGATTACACTAATTTGCTATAAAGTCAGCCATCATTTTCATGTTTCCAGATTAATGAATGCACACTATATTTTCAACTCCTGTTTTCATAATGATGAAATGTGTAGTGATTTCCTGCTAACTCCTAGCCAGTGAGCTGGGCCATGAAGAAGGAAACACCGAAGAAGGCATTAAGTCTGTCTGCCATTCAGCAGTTGCAAGCCGTGTAGCCGGAATCTTGCAGATACTGGACTGTGTTGTGCTCTATCCTTGTTCCTTTCCAGGAGAGAATGTTTTTCCATTGCTCCAAGGTGAATGTGAGCCATAACTGTGACCACAGACACACACAGTGTTTCTTACCCATCTTCTCGCTGTTCCTAGGACTCTGGGGCCTGGTGAATAATGCTGGTATCTCCTTCCCTTCTGCTCCCAGTGAGTGGCTGAGCAAGCAAGACTTCATGAACATACTCAACGTGAACCTGGTGGGGGTGATCGAGGTGACTCTGAGCCTGATGCCTTTAGTGAGGAAGGCTCAAGGGCGTGTGGTCAATGTCTCCAGTGTCATGGGGCGGTTGTCACCCTTTGGTGGTGGCTACTGCATCTCCAAGTATGGCGTGGAGTCCTTCTCAGACAGTCTCAGGTACTGGACAGGGGTGGGGCTGCTGGTGTTCTTGTTCCCATTGTTTTGGAGTAGCCTATTTCAGGGTTTTATGAGTCCTAGCCTGAATGACCTATCTTGTTGATCCTTTCCTATGGGTACGAAACTCTCTCATTTTCCCTCTCTTGGTGTAAGTGATCATTTTTTGGGAGCCAGTATTCCATATCTTGTGTAGAGAAAAACCCTAAGCTGAGTTAAACTTCTCCTCCACTGGAGGAAGGTTCACAGATGGAAAACTTCTGAGGTAGAATTGGAACAGGGATGATTTGGGCCCAGAGCCAGACAGATGATCTGTTTGACTCAACTGGCGTGAGGTTTGTTACCCAACTCAACAGATGCTTACTGGGCTTTTGTTTGCATGACGAATGTCTTCTTGCACAATAGTAAGTTGTGTTCTTCAGATTAGAACTGTGGTATATTTTTGAGAGGGCAAAGTGTCACAGAATCATCAGTACCATTTTTTAGAGTAGTTTTGCCGAAGTCAGTTTTGGCTACAACAACAGCTTTAAGGTTAGTGTTAGTGTGCTGGACAAGTGGAAACAAGTAGGCTTCTGAAGGGTCTGGCATTCCAGGCCTACCTGGACTGGTGTGGTGGTCTTTGTGTTATTGGCTGGGTACGTCCTGGAAAAAGACTGAATGACCTAGGGGCACTTAGGTCATTGGTCACTTGGGCCAGTAAGAATCCAGACTTGGGGGTTGCTAGGACTGAATTCAGGTTGAGCCACATTTCCTGGCAGATAGTAGCAAGTGTTCAGCTGAGAGCTGGCTGGGGAGCTTACTGGGGCAGGAGAAGCTAAGGCTGGGCCTGATTTCAGCAGAGGAGGCTGGGACAAAGCTTGGAGATTCATCTATACGAGGGAAACAAGCATAGCTAGTGGTTTTGTTTGTTTGTTTGTTTGTTCTAAGACATGGATCACTATGGAGACTAGACTAGCCTTCCGGGTGTGATTCTTCTATCTCAGTCCCTAAGTGATGGTTTATAGACGTGTGTACCTTGCCTAACCAGTTAGGTTTTATTGGGTGCCTTTGAAAAAAACAGGTAGAAGAGAGCAATAGGCTGGCATATGCACAATGCTTGAAAAAATGTTTACAAATACAGAGAGACAATGTTATCACCATCTTTTTAACCCAAGCTCCTGTACATTATATATCCTAAACTTCCAAATTCCTCCTATTCCAATCTCACATTAATATGTTGTTGTGCTACATAATTTTTTTGTGCTTTGCCTTCCAAGACTAGTGAAGTCCTTGCCTTGTGCCTTGCAGAAGAGAGCTCTCCTATTTTGGAGTGAAGGTGGCAATTATTGAGCCCGGTTTCTTCAAGACCAATGTGACCAGCAGTGAAAGATTCATACTAGATTTACAGAAGTTGTGGAACCAGCTCAGCTCAGAGGTCAAGGAGATCTATGGCGAGAAGTTTCTGGAAACCTGTAAGTGAGCTGTGGACAACAGAGAGAGAAGCAAACTTGGTCATGGATTCTTCTTTAGTATACATTTTTTTTCTTCTTTAGTATACATTTAATGTCTTCAGTAGCGAGAATTCTGCCCCAGACTCTGTTTCTGCACAAAGTGTTGATATTGAATAGCATTCCTTTGGTGTCTAATGGGTTCTGGTCACCTAAAGAAGGCTTCTGGCTTATTCAAACTTGAGATTCCCTTGCATCTGAACCCCTCAGTACCATGAAGATAACGTTTAAAAAGACAGGAGACAGGTGTACATTCATGGCCCTCTGGCCCAAGTAGCTGATTATTTCCAATGCTTGGATAATTTCCAGTGTTCAAACGACCTTTAATTTATGCAGCCCAGATATTGCAGGAAGAAAGGTAAAGGTCACTTAGTGTGGAACCGCAGTTTGTTGTGAATGAGTTGTGCCAGTTCCTGGGGAATTAGGGTAGGTTTGATTTGGATAGGTTCTGGATGTGGGGAGCAAGCATTATTAGGGAAAACTATCTCCCTAAATTGATTATAGAGCAGGAAAGTGGGAGGTGGCAATAAACCTGGATCATTTTTCTTTCTGTACAGACCAGAAATCATCTAAATTAGTGGAGCAAAGGAGCAAACCTGACCTGTCCTTGGTGACGGACTGCATGGAACATGCGCTGACTGCCTGTCACCCTCGCACCCGATACTCAGCTGGCTGGGATGCCAAGCTCTTTTACCTCCCCTTGAGCTACATGCCCTCATTCTTGGTGGATGCCCTTATGTACTGGGGCTCTCCAAAGCCAGCAAAAGCCTTGTAAAGCCAACTTTTGGGTGTATTGTTGGGGAAGTTGGGTAGTGTGTGTGGGTTGGGACATGTCAGGTAAGGGCAGTGGGTAGAGGCAAGCAGCTTTCACACACTAGGGCACCTGTCCCACCTTCTATGTCCAAAGGATTTTTCTCAGGTATTACTCAAGACTGCTGACATGAGAGGGAAAGAGTCAAGGACTTCTATTGAGGAACAGGGACTCAGCATCACCCACTGATTCCCAATTCATTTAGACATGAGCTGTTTTTTCTCTGTATTGTATGTCTTCCATGTCACTGTATCTTAGAACCAGCTGATTGTGGCCTGAACCTTAACAAACTGGGAGCCAAATAAACGTTTCCTTCACCATCTCGTGAGTGTTGTATAATTTGTCTCAGCAATGATAATTTGTCTTTAACTCATGGCTTACTTTCATTAGTTTTGTTTTAGAATGAAACATAACGTTCGGTACTTAAAAAAATTGCCATGCCAAGTGATTTGAAACATTTTTGCAGGAGAAGTAGAGTCCTGACCCCTGGATGAAAGAGGTGGTTGTTTGGAGGTCAAGGACTAGAGGAGTCACTTGAGGGGTGATAGATTCTGCCTGCTCTCAGGTCTTCCTGACATAGAATGAGGGACAATTGTTTCCTTTCCAAACATTGCAAGTAAGTGATCTTGAATGAGTAGAAAAGAATGGGCAAGCAAGGAGATGGTCAGATAGGACAGACCGCATTCCATTTTCCTTGCTGGGTAACAGGTCTATTTCCCTCAAAAAGCCTCCCTCTAAAGTTACTGCAATTGATAAGTGAAAATTTTAATAAGGCTTCAAGGCCACATAATGGGGAATCATGATTATCACATATTTTTATATATTTGAATCATTACTTACATTAGCGAAACATTATTCGGTATTCATACATGCGAGATTGATTTATTTCACTTATGAGTATGGTCTCAAGCTGCGCCCATTTATTGATAAATATCTCAATGTGATCCTTCTTTATAGCTGAATAATACTCCATTGTATAGAAATACCACAACTTTTTTATCCATTCCTCAGTTGATGGACACTTGGGTTGTTTCCAAGATCTGGTGATTACAAATTGTGCTGCTATAAACATAGGTGCACATATATCACTGTGGTATGATGCTTTCAGTTCTTCTGGGAATATGCCTAGAAGTGGAATAGCTGGAATAAATGGTATTTCCAATCCCAACTTTTTGAGAAATCTCCATACAGACCTCCACAAAGGCTGTACCAGTCTACACTCCCACCAACAGTGCAGGAGAGTTCCTTTTTCCCCACAGCCTCTCCAGCATTTGTTGTTGGTTTTCTTGATCCTGGCCATTCTTTCAGGAGTGAGATGGTATCTCAGTGTGGTTTTAATTTGCATTTCTCTAATGACCAATGATGATGAGCATTTTTTCATATATTTATTTGCCATTTGCATTTCTTCATCTGAGAATTGCGTATTCATCTCAGATGCCCATTTTTGGATTGGATCTTTGAATTTTGGAGGTCTGAGTTTTTTTAATTCTTTATATGTTTTAGACAAGAGTCCCTTGTCTGAGAGAGAGTTCACTAAAATCTTTTCCCAGTTTGTGGGTTTTCTTTTCACTATGCTGGAGATTTCTTTTGACATGCAGAAACTTTTTAATAAGAAGTGGTCCCAGTTATTGATTCTGGGAAGTATTTCCCATGCGGTTTGAGTCCTGTTCATGAATTCTCCTATGTCTCCAAGGTTTCTACCCAATTTGTCTTCCAATAGATTTAGTGTTTCTGTTTTAATATTCAGATCTTTGACCCATTTAGATTTTAATTTAGTACATGGTGATAGACATGGGTCTAGCTTTAGTTTTCGGCAAATGGAGAGCCAGTTTTTCCAGCACCATTTATTAAAGAGACTGTCGTTCTTCCAGTGAACCTGCTTGGCTCCTTTATCAAAGATAAGGTGGTTGAGTGTGTTTGTAGTTGTGGTTGTATCTTCTAATCTATTCCACTGATCTTCATCTCTGTTTTGATTCCAATACTATGCTGATTTTACTACTGTTGCTTTGTAGTATAACTTCAAGTCAGGGATTGTGATGCCTCCTGCTTTATCTTTGCTGCTTAGAATTGCCTTTGTGATTCTAGGTCTCTTCTGGTTCCAGATGAAATTTAGGAGTGATTTCTCTAGATCTATAAGGTATGTTGATGGTATTTCTATTGGGATTGCATTGAATCTGTATAACAGTTTTGGGAGAATGGCCATCTTCACAATGTTTGTTCTTCCTATCCATGAGCAAGGGATGTCTTTCCATTTTCTGAGATCATCTTCAATTTCCTTTTTCAGTGTATTATAATTTTCACTGTATAAGTCTTTCACTTCTTTCATAAGAGTAATTCCTAAATATTTCATTTTTTTGCTTGCTAATGTGAATAGTCCAGTTTCTCTTATTTCCCTCACTGTGATTTTGTTGTTTGTGTATAGGAATGCTATTGATTTCTGAGTATTGATTTTGTATCCGGCCACATTACTGAATTTATTTATTGCATCTAAGAGTCTTTCAATGGAGTTTAGGGGTCTTCTATGTAGAGTATCATGTCATCTGCAAACAATGATAACTTAACTTCTTCTTTTCCTATCTTTACCCCTTTTATTTCTCTTTCTTGCCTAATTGCTCTGGCTAGTACTTCCAGTACTATATTAAATAGTAGTGGTGATAAAGGACATCCTTGTCTTGTGCCTGATTTTAAAGTAAAGGCTTTCAATTTTTGGCCATTTAGTATGATGCTGGCTGTTGGTTTGTCATAAATGGCCTTTATTATATTGAGGAAAAGACCATCTATTCCAATTTTCTGTAAAGTTTTTATCATGAATAAATGTTGGACCTTATCGAAGGCTTTTTCTGCATCTATAGAAATGATCATGTGATTCTTATTTTTGGCTTTATTGATATGGTGGATTATATTTATTGATTTGCGTATGTTGAACCATCCTTGCATTCCTGGGATGAATCCCACTTGGTCATGGTGTATAATCTTCTTGATGATTTGCTGCAACCTATTTGCCAATATTTTATTGAGGATTTTTGCATCTGTGTTCATTAGGGAGATCGGTCTATAGTTCTCTTTTTTAGTTGGGTCTTTCTCAGGTTTTGGTACTAGAGTAATATTTGCTTCCAGGAATGACTTAGGAAGGATTGCTTCCCTTTCAATTTCATTGAATAGTTTGAGGAGTGTTGGCATTAGGTCTTCTTTGTATTTCTTGTAGAATTCTGCAGTGAATCCATCTGGGCCTGGGCTCTTCTTGGTGGGTAAGGACTTAATTACATTTTCAATTTCATTAACAGAGATTGGGTTGTTCAACAGTTTTACATCCTCTTGATCTAGCTTTGGCACTTCATATGCTTCTAAGAATCTGTCTATTTCTTCTGTGTTATCAAACTTTTGAGAGTAGAGGTTTTCAAAATAGGTGTTGATGAACTTCTGTATTTCTATTGGATCTGTAGTGATTTCTCCTTTTTCATTTCTTATTGCATGAATTTGAGCCTTTTCTTCCCTTTTTTAATAAGGTTGGCTAGGGGCTTATCGATTTTATTTATTCTTTCAAAGAACCAACTCTTTGATTCGTTGATTCTTTGGATTGTTTTCTTAGTCTCTATTGCATTGATTTCTGCTCTGATTTTTATAATTTCCTCTCTTCTTTTGGCTTTGGGCTTGACTTGCTCTTCTTTTTCTAGCTGTTTGAGGTGTAGCATCAAGTTATTTATTTGTATTCGTTCTGTTTTCCTGATGTGGGAACTCAGTGCAATAAATTTTCCTCTCAGGACGACTTTCATTGCATCCCACAGATTCCGGTAAGTTGTATCTGCATTTTCATTTTCTTTTAGGTATTGTTTAATTTCTTCTTTAGTTTCTTCTGTGACCCACTGATTACTCAAGAGTGTGTTATTCAGTTTCCATGTGTTTGCGGGATTTTTGCAGTATCTTTTATCATTAATTTCTAATTTCAGAGCGCTATGATCCGATAACATGCAAGGGATGATTTCAGCTCTTTTGTACTTGTTTAAGTATGTTCTGTGAGCTAATATATGGTCTATTTTAGAAAATGATCCATGTACTGCTGAGAAGAATGTGTATTCTGAAGAATGCGTTGTTGGGTGGAACATTCTGTATATGTCTATCAAACCCATTTGTTCACAGGTATGATTCAGTTCTGTTATTTCTTTGCTCATTTTCTGTCTGGTTGATCTGTCCCTTGGTGTCAGTGGTGTATTAAGGTCTCCTGTTACAATTGTGTTACTGATAATTTGAGTTTTCATTTCTGTTAATAATTGTTTTATATAACTGGGTGCTCTGGAGTTTGGTGCATGTATATTTAAGATAGTTATCTCTTCCTCTTGGAGTTTTCCCCTTATGAGTATGTAGTGACCTTCTTTGTCCTTTATGGTCATTGTTGGTTTAAAGTTCACGTTGTCTGCAAACAGAATGGCTACTCCTGCCTTTTTTTGGATTCCTGCTGCATGAAGAATTGTTTTCCATCCTTTGACTTTCAGTCTGTGAGTATCCTTCTGGGTTAGATGGGTTTCCTGTAAACAGCATATGGTTGGATTTTGTTTCTTGATCCATTCTGCTAGTCTGTTTCTTTTGATTGGTGCATTGAGACCATTTACATTAATGGTTATTACTGTTAAATGCTGGTTAATTGTAGGAATCTTATCTCTCTGCTGTTGCATCTTTATCTTTCTGTTCTGTTTAATTATTTGCTTTGCTTAGTGGTTTTTTCCTTTGTGTATCTAAACTGTCTTTCAATATTTTTTGCAGGGTTGGTTTGGTGTTCATGAAGTTCTTCAGCTGTTCTTTGTCATAGAAGTATCGTATTTCACCATCAATTTTGAATGATAGTTTTGCAGGATATATCAGTCTAGGTTGGAAATCATTTTGCTTTAGGATCTGGAATACTTCACTCCATGCTCTTCTTGACTTTATTGTTTGTGCTGAGAAGTCTGCTGTGATTCTGATAGGTTTTCCTTTATAAGTGATCTGTCTTTTCTCTCTGACAGCTTTTAATAATCTATTCTTGTTGTGGATTTCTGGGATGGTGATTATTATATGTCTGGGTGTAGTTTTATTTTGGTTATGACTATTTGGAGTTCTATATGCTTCACTGATCCTGATGTCAGTTTCTGATCTCATGCTTGGGAAATTTTCAGCTATTACTTCTCTAAATATCCTCTTGACATCCTTTATGTTGTCTCCTTCTTTTTCATTAATCCCTATCATTCTTATGTTATTCTTCTTTGCATCGTCTTGCAGTTGTTGAATTGTTGTTTCCTGATTCCTTGTTATTTTTAAAAGATCTTTCCTTTCCTGTTCACTAGCTGCA